CCAGAACAATCCTCAGCAAAAAAAACAAAGCAGGTGGTATCACAATACCAGATTTCAAACTTTACTACAAAGCTACAATCATCAAAATCTATTCTTAAAGATCTTCCATTATAGAAAAAGCAACATCAAATCACTTTTGAAATTGGAGTTTGGGAGTACTGATAAATTGACATACTTACTTCCCAGCTCCCATTGTGCTGTATAAGAAATTCCAACAAGAAATTAATGAGGAGATGCCACAAGATGTCTTATATTGTGGTCGGCTTATGCAGTACCTGAGAAAACAAAAGACTGTTTTCTTAGCTTGAATAAATTCCAAACATGCATACTAGAAATATAAAACTCATGGCAATTAAGTGTTACTATAATGAAAACTCTGATCATACAAATCAACATAAAATCTTCATTCACTTAAAATATTTTCATACCTGTTAATCACGTCATAAATGTATAACAATATTCATTTTAATAAAAAGAGCTAAGTAGGACATAGTGGATGTTATCCAAACCAATATGAAAAAAATGAATGGTATATAAATTTAGACATCATCTATTAAAATTTTGGTGTAAATTCCTAGATAAGCTACATAAACTGATTATTTACAAACATCAGAAATACTGGGGAGACAAAGCATTACCCTCCATGTATCAACTCCTCAGAGAGATTCCTCAGCTCAGACTAAAAGAACAACATCCATTTATCACCACTGTGTTCATCTAAAATCCCTGGATGAGAAGCTATTTAGTATTGGTTATCCTGACACAGAGAATTTTAAAAGTGAAACACAAAATCCTTCCATGGCAAAATCCAGTTGTACTGGGTAACCCAGACAATTTTCAAAATATTCATGATTCAAGGCAAGAAACTGAGGCTAATGTGAACAGAAGGGAAAAGAAACAGTCTATCCTATTTTAAGAAAGAAATAGGTTGGCTTTCAAGTTATCTCTTCCTAACTGCTTTCTAATGAAGGTGCTCATGGGTGGCCAAAAGAAATGGAGAAACAAGACTTCTCATCAGTAAGCCCAATTTCAGTATTGCCTAAAAAGTTAATTAAGAAAGAAAATGATATGTATGCATATATATTTGTATATATACATATAATACGCATATTGACAAATCAACAATGACCCTTGAATCTACAGATCACCGATCCCCAACCTTTTTGGCATCAGAGACCGGGTTTTGTAGAAGACAATTTTTCTATGAACAGGGGTGGGCGAATGGTCTTGGGACGACTCAAGCACATTACATTTATTGTGCACTTTATTTCCATTATTATTACATTGTAATAATAGTAATTTCATCATGAAAATTTTAAATTATTATTTTGACATGAATCTGTGAGTAATTGATTTATTGTGGTCTTTGCGCAGTCAGACCTCACTGCTAATGTTAATCGGTATTTGCAGTTGTGCCCCAGTGCTAGCATCACTGCCTCAGCTCTACTGCAGATCATCAGCATTAGATTCTCATAAGGAGCACATAACCCAGATCCCCGCATGCACAGTTCACAATAGAGTTTGCACTCCTGCGAGAATTTAATGCCACCGCTGATCTGCTAGAAGGCAGAGCTCAGGTGATAATGCAAGTGATGGGAAGTGGCTGTGAATACAGATGAAGCTTCACTCCCTCGGACTGGCTGCTATAGTGAACTACAACCAGACAGTCACTGGGACGCTGAGACACAACAGATAATAGTGGTCACAACATAATATACTAAGTGCTTCAACACTTCATCATCAAATTTGTTGAGTCTTCCTTCAGTTTTGTCTTGTTCTTTAATTGTGGTTAAAACACACACACATAACATAAAATGTATCATGTTAATCATTCTTAAGTGTACAGTGCAGTAGTGCTAACTCTATGCACATTAACGTGCAACAGATTAGAACTTTTTCATATTGCTAAACTGAAACGCTACCCCCATTAAACAACTCCCTTTTCCCCCTTCCTCATCCCTGACATTTCCCTTTCTCTGACTTTGACTACTTTAGATTAAAAGTGGAATCATGTAGTAATTGTCTTTTTATGATTGGCTTATTTCACTGAGAACAATGTCCTCAAAGTTCATCCATGTATCTTAGCATGACATTTCCCTTTTCTTTTAAGGCTGAATAATATTCCAGTGTACATATGTACATACCGTATGACATTTTTTTAATCCATTCATCCACTGATGAACACTTCAGTTGCTTCCATCCCTTGACTTTTGTGAATAATGCTGCAATAAACATGGGAGTGCAGATATCTTTTCCAGATCCTGCTTTTAATGATTTTGTATATATAAAGCAAAGTAAGATTGCCTAAATCATATGGTAGTCCTATTTTTAACTTTTTGAGAAATTTCCATACTGTTTTTCATAGTGGCTGTACTATTTTATATTCCCAATAACAGTACACACAGATTCCAGTCTCTCCACATCCTCACCATCACTTATGTTCTGGTTTTTTGATAGTTGCCATTCTAATGGGTGTGAAGGAACATTTCACTGTGGTTTTGATTTGCATTTCTATAATGACTAGTGATATTGAACATCTTTCTATATGCTAGTTGGCCATTTGTATATCTTCTTTGGAGAGATGTCTTTCAAGGTTTTTGCCCATTTTTTAATTGAGCAAATTTGATATTTTTGTTGTTTAGTTCTTTATATATTCTGGATATTAACTTCTTGTCAGATATATGATTTAAATTTTTTTCTCTTATTCTACAGGCTTTCACTCTGTTGTTTCCTTTGATGCACAGGTTTTTTTTAAGTTTGATGCAATCCCTTTAGTCTGTTTTCGCTTTTGTTGCCTCTGCTTTCAATGTCACATCTCAAAAATCATTGCCAAGTCCAATGTTAAGAAGTTTTCCAGCCAGGCTTGGTGGCTCAACCTGTAATCCTGTGTCTTGGGAGGCTGAGGTGAGTGGATTGCCTGAGCCCGTGGGTTTGAGACCTGCCTGGGCAACTTGGTGAGACCTCATCTCTACAATAAATTAAAAAATTAGCCGGGCGTGGTAGCACAGGCCTGTAGTTCCAGCTACTTGGAAGGCTGAGGTGGAAGGATCCCCGGAGCCCAGTAGCTCAAGGCTGCGGTGGCCGGGAGCGGCCACTGCACTCCAGTCTGGACAACAGAGTGAGACTCCAACTCAAAAAAAAAAAAAAAAGAAGCTTTTCCTTGTAATCGTATGCTATATGGTCCATGCTCATGAAGGACAAGCAACTCATTCATTTACTTAATTTGTTTTTCTCTGCTGTTAACATTTTGGCCAGAATTCAATCTTTGCAGTTATTTTACAAATCTGATACTATATAGTGTTTTATATGTTACAAAACCTATCTTTATGTATGTTTACAAAAAAAGTATTATATGCATAGGTGTATTAATTTATTGTAACATTAATTTTGGTCTTAAAGCATTAAAAAAAAAAGGAGAGGGGAAGAGAGGTTTACTTAAGAGTTTTCATCAGTCCAAACTTCTTTACTACTCTTGTTCATGACAATGGTAAAATTTTTACCAACATTCACTACCTTCTACAGGTCTTTTCATTCCAACCCTAATCTTGTAATGCTCTCAGTGGGAAATAAGTTTGTAGTCTCGGTAATCTTTTCTTCTTCAAGGTATTTCTCTTATCTATCCTTCCTAGTCCAAGCCTTTATGGCCTCACATGTTATTCTGTTAAAATATAATTATGTATTTTTGTTGATAAAACAAATCTTATATCTAAGGGATTAGAAGCAAAAATGAACAAAGCCTTTTTTCAAAGAAAGTAAAATTTATGTATTTTACTTACTTAGTATCTCTTCTCCAGTACATCCTACATACTAACTACTCCCAATTTGTTTTTGTAAAATATCTTTTTGCTAAGAAGTTTCCGCCCAACATGATGGCTCATGTCTGTAATCCCAGCACTTTGGGAAGCCGAGGCAGGAGGATTGCTTGAGGCCAGAAGTTTGAGACCAGCCTGGGCAACACAGTGAGACCCCTATCTCTATAAAAATAATTTTTTAAAATGCTCTGTCTTGGAGCAAGAGGAGGGGGAGGGGAGGAGGAGGAGGAATATTATTATATCCAATGGCTTATCTCTACCTCAGAAAAATACCTAAATCTTCATAGCCTGATATCCAAAAAATAGATCATGATGTTATAAAGAAACCGCATGAACTTTGGAGTCTGACTCTCCAGTTTTAATATAAGATCCTCTACTTATTAGTCATGTGGTGTTGGGAAAGTTTCTTAGCTTCTCTGAGCCTCACTCTAGACAAGTTAGTCTACTGTTTATTATCTTTTTAATTTTTTTATTATACAGATGTGGGATACAATTCAGGATTAGATATACAAACATTGATTATGCAGTTACCGTTGTTGATGAGGTGTGCCCCTCCCTCCTCTAGCAGTTTCCCTCAATTGCCAATCCCTCATCCCCACCCCTCGCTGGCAGTTTCCCACTACTGCCAATCCCTTTCTTTTTATTTATTTATTTATTTATTTTTTTTTTTTGAGTTGGAGTCTCACTCTGTCGCCCAGACTGGAGTGCAGTGGCTGCTCCCAGCCACCGCAGCCTCGACCTGCTGGGCTCCGGCAATCCTTCCGCCTCAGCCTTCCAAGTAGCTGGAACTACAGGTGCATGCTACCACACCCGGCTAATTTTTGATTTATTGTAGAGATGAGGGCTCGCCAAGTGGCGGGTCTCGAACCTGCAGGCTCAGGCAATCCACTCACCTCAGCCTCCCAAAGGCACGGGATTACAGGCTGAGGCACCAAACCCAGCTGCCAATCCCTTTCTTATAGTATTATAATTGTTCAAGGTCCACTTATGAGTGAGAACATATGGTATTCTGTTCTTTGTTTCTGTGATAGATCACTAAGCATTATCAATATGCCAAACACTTTCCACCAATTCATTCAAAGACCTTTCACCATTCTGTCCCTTTATACTTCCTCCTTTAAGATGCAGCTCCTTAATAAAGCATTTTGGTGAACATTACCTCCTTTCATAGTTGGCTATTTATTCATACTCATCATGTGAAAAACTGCCTGAGATATTTTGCATTTTTCTGCTTACTCCTCTCTTCTCAACCAGATTTTAAACCTTGGGAAAACAAAGACCATGTCTTTGATATCATCTCTGTATTCTCAGTCCACAATAAAAGGTCCAACATATGTGATAAAAATCTAATATTTCTAAAACCTCACCAAAAAAGAATCTTTAAAACTCAAATCAGAGATCAGTAATTTTCAAGGCTATCATAAATTAAATATTTTCTTCTTTAGAATAGGTAGCCAAATAGTCCCAGTTGAGAAATAAAAGCTCTTTTTATCAGAAGAAGACCAGGTAACAAAAGTAAAAGGAATGATAAAATTTTGAAACATAATCATTTAGCAATAAGGATTCAGATGAGGATCATCAAAGAGTTTGGCTAAAACCCAGACGGTGAGAAGTTAATGAAAACTTGAAACATCTAATGCTACTCTGTTACCCAACTGATTACTTGATGGTAGTAGAGAGGAAAGAATTTGTCAACGTGGAATATGGCTGTCACCACTCTTAGAATTGCTAATACTGAACAATCAGATACTATATGATTTCTCATATGAAGCGACATGTAGTACATAGGATCACTTAAGCAATATTCTTGTTTAAAATGTTTAATCTAAATCGAATCAAGTATTTATATCCAACTTCTAGTTTATAGCAAATACTGAGGTTAGATGAAAAATTTAGACAGCTAAAAGGAAAAAAAATCCAAACCAGGCATAGTGGATGAAGCTTGTAATCCCAGAACTTTGGAAGGCCAGGGTGGGAGGATTCTTTGAGGCCAGTAGTTCAAGACCAGCCTAGGACACACAGTGAGATCACCGCCCCCCATCTCCATAAAAAATAAAAATAGTAGCTAGGTGTGGTGGCATACACCTGTAGTCCCAGCTACTTGGGAGACCGAAGCGGGAGGATCTCTTGAGACCAGGAGTCTGAGGTTGCGGTGAGCTATAGTTGTGCCACTGTACTGACATAGAGAAACCTGGTCTCTTAAATAAATAAATAAAATAAACCTATAACATAGGACATTCCAACAGACACATGAAAATGTGCTCAGCCCTCACTCATGATCAGAGAAATGCACATTGAGATACCACCTAATCCCAGTAAGAATGGCCATCATTAACAAAACAAACAACAACGGACGCTGGGGAGGATGCAGAGAAAGGAACACTTCTACACTGCTGGTGGGAATGCAAACTAGTGTAACTCTTTGGAAGACAGTGTGGCAATTCCTGAAAGAACTAGAAATTGACCTTCCATATGTCCCAGCATTCCCTACTGGGAATATACCCAGAGGAACCCAAATCATTCTACCAAAGAGATACCTGCACAAGCATGTTTGTTGCAGCTCTATTCACAATAGCAAAAACATGGAACCAACCCTGCTGTCCATTGAAGCTGGACTGGATTAAAAAAAAATGTGGTACATATACACAATGGAATATTATGCAGCCATCAAGAAAGACCAACATATGGACTTCACAGCAACTTGGATGGATTTAGAGTCTATCATACTCAGTGATCCATCACAGAAACAAAGAACAGAGTACCATTGTTCTCACTCACAAGTGAACTTTGAACAATTATCATAATACTGTAAGAAAGGGATTGGAAGTAGTGGGAAACTGCTAGGGAAGGGGGGGAGGGATTGGCAGTTGAGGGAAACTGCTAGGGGAGGGAAGGGCGCACCTCATCAACAAGGGTACCTGCACAATGAACATTTGTATACCTAACCCTGAAATGTACCCCACATCTTCAAAATAAAATTTAAAAAGCTTAACAATTGTCAAATCTGAATAGCAGTTATGTGGAATCACACAAATGATTCTAGTGACCAGTCAAGTCTGGGAAACACAGGCATAGCTCATTACTAATCTACTCCAAACATTTGTAGTATAATTTTCATAATTAGAAATCCTGGAAATGATTTTAAAATTTAAAATACTCATTATACATATAATTCATTAATTTATAAACAAAAAATTGTTGCCAAAATATATTACATATTTTTAAAACTAAAACTGACATAACCACATTACCATCGTCTGAGATCCAATACTTTCCGCTGCTTAATGTCTTCAAGAGGAAAATGCTGAGGACACTCCCTCTGATACCTTCCTTTTTTATCTGAAGTTTTTTTCTTAGAAATTTGTTTCTTTCCATTGCCTAGAATACAAGAGTATAAAATAAGCAAAACTCTTAAGATGAAATAAACTGCAATGACAAAAATTATGTACCACATTTAAGAAGTAACTGCCACTAGTTCTAACAATATTTGCAAACATATTGAGTATATGTATTTTCAGTAATACTCCCCTACCTTAAAGAGAAAGAGAGAGAATGAAAACAAATTTAAACCACCGTGAATGCAATTTCCTATCAGGTTTAGATTCCACCCCAGAGCTATTCACTTAGCTGGTAAAGGAATCAATCCCTAACTCTTTAGCCACATCTAGAAAATCAAATTACCCATAATAAAATATTTAACAAGACCACTTTCCAGAAAATGGACGCTTTTTATAAAACAATAAAACCACATTAGTGCAACTCTGTTAAGAAAGTAAAAGCACTGGATCCAATAATGTGATGATGTGATGTTTTAAAATATCTCCAGGCCTACAGAGACCACTAAAGGAATTAAGAATGATGCACATGTATATTATTAAAATGCAACTTCAGCACCAGGAACTAGCAAGGAAAACAAAGTCTCCTTTCTGTATGCATGTATGTATGTATATACACACACAATCCTATACACATGTGCACACACACACGCACACATTCTCCAAAAGATGAACAATAGTGGTTACCTACTAGGGCAGAGAGAATTAGGAGCAGGACAAAAGGGAGACAAAAGTGAGAATGAGAATTTATGCTGTTTTATTGTTACACTTTTTTACTTCTAAATGATGCTAATAGATTATTCCATCAAAAAATTAGATAAAGTAAGGTATTAATAAGTACCATCAGGCTTCATTTCATTAAAGCACTATTAACATTTCAGATAGCTATGCTCAAATGTTTTAATAACTTTCAATATATTCTATTTTAAATGAAATCACCATATCTGTTAAAAAAAATTAAGTGAAGGCTAATACTTTATTTATTTATTTATTTATTTAGAGTTGGAGTCTCACTCTGTTGCCCAGACTGGAGTGCAGTGGTAGCTACCGGGCTCCGGTGACCCTTCCGCCTCAGCCTTCCTAGTAGCCGGAATTACAGGCACGCGCTACCATGCCCAGCTAATTTTTTTGATTTATTGTAGAGATGAGGTCTTGCCTGCCCAGGCAGGTCAATACTTTATTTTTATGTTATTCATAAATTATAAAACATAGATTATGTAGGTATACGTCTAGGAAACAAACATGGAAAAGGATCCGTTTTTTTCATTCAAGGTGCCCTACAATGAAACCATCTGGCACCTAAGATCTGCTGGAACTCAGGAACTATTATTACACAGAGAATTTCTGTAAAATGTTATAATAATGAAGACCATAAACTCAAAAAACAATGTTCCCCCTTCCTTAAAATTATACTCTCTAAGTCTTTACAGAGAATTCAACATTTTTCACAGTCAAATAACCACTGGCAAACATGAGCAAAATCTCACTGTGCCAAATTTCCCTCAGTGGTAAAATGAATCTTAGGGAGTCAGAAGACAGAGAAACAAATTTCTAAGAATTCTTGAGATGTTTTTACTGCTCAGTTATGACTTCATTCCCCAAATAGCTTTCCCAGCCATTACAAATGTTAAGGCTAATGAAACATCAAAATCTGTGACCTCAGTAGGCCCAGAGGGTGGTCTGTATCATACTTTCTTCTAGGGTTACATGAGCTCATCCTCGATTCTGTTTGTTGAATCCTATAATTCTCCCTGGGGTAAATGAGCATATATGTTCCAAATGAACCTACTTCATAAAATCCCTACACTGCGACAAAAAGATCTGGTCCCACAGACAAAATTTCATTCCCTCCGAGAGAAGGAAACTATGTCAAAGTGGAAGCTAAATTTGAGAGGGAAACATAAAAGGACAGCACCTGAGCCTTCTGTCTCACCAACACTTCAACTCCAGGACTTTTGCCCACTGCTTGATTATTACTGTATTCCTTCTTTCATTCCTCACCCTACCCACAACGCATACACACAGTCCCAACACCACACACACACACACACACACACACACACACACACACACACTCACACACACTATAAGAGGGGACTCAAAAAACACCACACACACACACACACACACACTCACACACACTATAAGAGGGGACTCAAAAAACACCACACACACACACACACACACACACACACACACACACACACACACTATAAGAGGGGACTCAAAAAACTCAGGAATTTATTTGTAAAAATTTGTGTATTTATTCTTATGTGTTTAAACCCGTCACCTTCCAAGTACAGTCCGTCTGATGCACTACACCTATCCAGATGCCTTTTCCACGGCTCAAGACAGGTTTTGAGCTCGTCTTTTTGATGTATTTTTGTGCTTCTGCCGTTTTTTGTTTCACCTCTTCCACATCGTCAAAACGTTTCCCTTTCAGGACCTTTTCCATCCGGGGAAACTAACAAACCAAAAAAGGGCTCAGGGCGAGATGCAGTGAAGAGAGGGTGGAGCACAGGGGTCATGCCGTTTTTTGGTCAAAAACTGCTGAACGCTCAGCATAGTGTAGGCAGGTACACTTGTAAATCACCCATCATGAAATGGGAAACTGTTCTCAAAGAATCTCCAAAAAAAGCAGCACGCAGCCTCTCACAACAATGCTACCTGGTACACCAATGCCGGCAGATTCCTAGAACATTCACCTAGTGGGGGAAGCCTGTACTACAAGGGACCCACCTTCAGAAAGATAAATCTAGGTTTTGGGGGGTCCCCTCTCACATATGTATTCACCGCACTAACTTTTAGAGAAAGTATAGAGCAAATAAAAGGAGAAATTTCACCATCAGTTTTACTTGAAGAACTAGAGGACAGAGTTCTGTGCAATCATCATAACTGGAAAGTGAGGTGAGAGGGGACCTAAAAGAAGAGAGACCACAGAGGAGAGGAGGCCTAAATTCTGTGTATAACTTGGACTAAATCTTGGGCTGACCCCTGAACCATGCATGTAAAGAGAAGACCCCCAAGAAACACAGCTAAGGTAAAAGAACTGATCTGATACTGGCGATGTCTTCAACAAACAGAATTTACAGTTTTGGTTTAGTTCAACCAAATTGCCTGCTCCTCTCCACACATACACACACACAAAATTGAACACTTTGGAGGAATATATCAGAATCACCCTAACTTAACAGTCCCACCATCTAGGATACAATGCAAAATTATAGAACATGTGAGGAAACTGAAAATATGACTCATTCTCAAGAAAAAAGATAAGGCCAACTCTGATATAAGCTAGACTTGGAGAATTGCAGATAAGGATTTAAGAAGGTATCATAACTATGTATTATAAAATAGATAAAATGTTCTTGTAATAAATGAAAAGATAGGAAGTCTCAGATGAGAAACAGAAGCTATAAAAATGGAAATACTAGAACTAAAATAAATAGATGAAAAAAAGATATACCGTGCAAACACTAATCAAAAGAATGCTGGAGGCCAGACATGGTTGCTCATGCCTGTAATTCCAGCACTTTGGGTGGCCAAGGCAGAAGAATAACTTGAACCCAGGAGTTCAGAAGAAGAAGAGAAGGGGAGAGGAAGAGAGAGAGGGAGAAGAAAGCTAGAGCAGCTATGTTAATATTAAACAAAGTAATTTTCAGAACAAAGGCATTTCATAATGATAAAAGGGTCAATTCATGAAGAAGGCATAAAACTCATAAATGTGTGTGCCCTTAAAAAGAACTTCAAATTACATTTTTTTTTTAATCAACAGAATTAAATAGACAGTAGAAAGCACTAGAAATCTGTCTCCCCACCTAAATAACAATCACACTGGCAGAATCTGTCTGATGTCATTATTTTCAAACTTTAGAGTCTATTCAAAGGGTTGCAACTTTCAGAGGAAGTATTGAACAGTAAATTGTGAAGGCTTGAACTGAAATTTGGTCAATTTCAGTTCACAGCAAGGTAACAGCTATCATCCCCCAGTGCAGGCAACTGTGCACATGTTCCTGGAGTAGCACCAGGCAGCTTGTGGGAGTCAGCCTGGGGAGAAAAATCATGTCCTACAAAAATTGAGAATCTATGTTCTGGTTGCAGATTGCTGTTTCTGATCTTGGAAGCACAGACACACGAGGAGAGGGGCAGTCATTTTTGCACCCTTCCTTCCAGTTGAAGCCTCTTCCAGAGGATTTAAAGGACCAGTACCCCTTGTGTACTTTTTTCCCTCTTTTTTCCATTTTCACTTTGAGAGTCAGACATTTAAAGTATAGGATATTCAAAAGCAACCACAGTGGGTAGGAATAATTTTAAAAGGCCCACATCAAGACATAATATAATCATACATAAAAGGCAAAAGACTTACATGATCTGAAGAAAAATCATAGTATATATAATCAAATTGCAGAAAAACAAAGGCAGAATTTTTTGGGGGGGGAGGGGGGTT